TTTTTAACCTATACAAGTGGACGAGCTCCTCTACGAATGGCTCACCCAACTTAGCTACTCGGTATGCTATGTACAAGCCTACAATAATGATATATGAGTTCGCTGACAACTAAAGAGGGACGATGTCAAATCGTCTCATAACACTGTCGATGAAGTGATGAGAGGAAATGGACATCCCATACCTCAAAAGGGATTCAAAGATGACCATACAACTGATGGGGGAGATTTTTCTAGGAGAAGCCTCTCGGAATCCTCAGGAAAAGTTAAGGCGCATAAACCTCAGTTATGCGCCTAAGATTCGCAGCCTCAATCAAGGAATGTGGTTCCTTCTGCGGCCTATGGATTGGAGATTTCTTCGGTTGAGCAATCTTTGCATAAGCATGTTCGGAAGAGCCTGTCGTATCGAGGTCTGAGCTCCATGCAATGACATCCTTGGAAGCCTCAGGGACTATGCCTCCAAGAACTGCTAAGCCTACTGGGGAATAGAACATGCAATCAATGGTATGACTGCTTGACGAAGACATGACAATAGCTCGCCTCTAGGTACATGAAACAAAAGCAAACATGTGCTAGACCTAAAAAATTCGACAACCTATCCACACTTTGCTTTCAGTTTAGGCATTTAAGGTCGCTTGCGTTGGACAACAGATACAAGTGACCTACCAGGATTCCAGCGGCCGCCACCATAAACCCTCCTTAAACCCAGAATTGCCAGAAATACACTCAAAAACCCTAGTAAAGCCCTAAAAAGAAACCCAATGTGGCCATGACAATGGCCACCCTTAACCACAAAAAGGCATAAAAGTAAGCAAATGAGGGGAAAGAAACGTTACCAAAGTGAAAAGGTGGAAGAAACTCACAGGAAAAGCGCTGTGAAAACGAAGGAGCAGCGACAGAATAAGTAAGAAAATCTAAAAACTTTTGCAAAGTGTGTAGACTTTCTGATGAGGTTGCCCGCTTTTATAGTGGTTTGCATGGGAGACCAAAGGATAGGATTTGATCGTAGCCGTCGATCTACAGTGAATCTTGGCCCTCCATTCATCGAGCAATTCTGGCCCTTGAATATAGCCACATTCAATCATCTACAAGGGGCGATCGACCGTCAGGCTGGCACAAACTTAACCGTCATCAATTGCGCGTGTGGATAGTTGTAGTAGCCCATGCGCAACAAAAAGTAATTATCAAAGTTTGCCACATTTAATGCGACATGACCACATGGAAGTTACACATGTACCCTTCATTTCAAATTCCAAGTTTGTCAAGAATTCACAGCAGAGGAAAAGCCAAGTGTTGAGTACATCAACCGAAGATGAGTCCGACTCATGAAGCTCGACCGAATTTGCATTCAGTGCACAACCGATGAAGTTTGAACTTGATATCAAATCGAGTAATAGTCTTCGAAGTTTGAAACAAGCATCGAACACTAGGGGGCAGATGTTGTGTGTTATTTTTCCATCAAGCTTAGAGAATTACGAGGTTATAGCTCGATCAAAATCAGTTCGATTCAATCGATTGTCTGACCCAACATAAACTCGTCGAGATGTAACTTGACCTAGCACAAGCTAGTCGCAACCAATCCCTGTAGTTGTTCAACCAACTCATAGATAACTTTAGATCCCAGATATCTCGGAATGGATTAGATTGAAAACAATCTTGGCGCAATCTCAATGCTCAATCACAAGAATATCGGCGTTACATTTCAATCTTAATTGTAATCTCTTTATTTTCGCTCTTTCCTTCGTACAAAATCTGTATATAAACCCCCTCCAACGATAAGAAAGGGGTTAGCGAATTGTTTTAGGATTATTATTGTAAGCTCTCACAGCAAATACAAAGAACGGTGGACGTAGGCTCAAGAGTATAACCCGCTGAACCACTTTAAAAACTCTCTATGTTATTTATTTTACCGTTTCCAATTCACTACATTGCTAGTTACTGTTAATCACACACACATCCGTTCTGATTCCGTCAAGGTCAATCAGATTGCTCTAGTTGGTGTATTTTTTTAATCAACAATGGGAGAAGCAAATTTGAGTGCCTGGAGACCAAGTTTTGATACAACTCTAATTGCAGTTGTATACTCGGTAAATATTACCTAATGGACTACAAAAATATTGCAGAGGGAATAGGTAAGTTAAAGAAAACTTGCAATGAGAGATTGTTTAATTTGTATGTACTGCAAGGACTATTTGGATTATCGCTGGCCAATGTTGTTCATGCGTGGAGGTTGTACATGAAGGGGCCTCTGTACATTGCAAGTTTCAGGCCATTATCAGTTTCCATTGCAGCTGTTATGGGCTTCATTTTACTTGGTGATGCTCTCTATCTTGGGAGGGGCCAATGTTGTTCGTGGGGGTTGTACATGAAGGGGCCTCTGTACATTGCAAGTTTCAGGCCATTATCAATTGCCATTGCGGCTGTTATGGGCTTCATTTTACTTGGTGATGCTCTCTATCTTGGAAGGTAATATATACATCTCTGTCTTAGTTATTTAATGTCGACTCACATATCATATTTGTGGTATATATTATTTATTTGCAGTGTTATTGGAGCAGTAATAATATGTATGGGATTTTATGGTGTATTATGGGGAAAGGTCAACGAGGAGGACTCTAGCTTTGTTGCAGTTGAAAGTAAAACCCCTTTGTTGCAGACTGCAGAGCCTTGAAGTTGAAGATATCTAAGAGGCCTATGGAATCCTACAAAAATACAAAGACAAATTCAATGGAAAGCCTTCTTTTAAGGGGTATATATGTATATATACATGCTCATCTAGTCATCTTCATAAACAATGCTTGTGTGTATGCTTGCTATAAGAAGGTAGATTATATACGAAAAAATCAACATAAGATATTGGCCAATGAAGCATCTCCAAAGAACTAAAACTAATGTTAACCACTTGATTTGTGGTGATTTGTGGTTGGATAGCAAGACTTTGAGTTAACCAAAAGCCTTGTGTTCAAATCATATAAAGTGGTTATTTACTATATTTGTAACTTATTTAGTTCATTAGGTTTGTAGGGTGTTTAATAGACCCTGGTATTCAATGGATCTAAGGATTAGTTGAATGAGCTTATAAGGTGTTTAGTGGAGCCTAATGTTTAATAGACTCTGATAATTAGTTGAGGTGCATATGGCTCAAGAGATTAATTAAATGAGTTTGTAGGATATTTAATAGACCCTAGTATTTAATAGATGCAATAGACCTGAGAATTAATTGAGATACAAATGGCGTTAAAAAAGGGGCTATTGAACTTGCCCAATTGTTTTGTGTGCACTTGATAAAGCCGCTTGTCAATCATGCCATTTGGGTTGGGGAGTGTGGGACAGAGAAGCCGAAAGTGAGGCGAGGAGTTGTGCGAGAAGATGCGTGGGGACAAATCAAACAGTCAAGGTTCAATATAATTTTAGTGGGGTCAAACCAGTTGCGTAAGCTTCAGGATGAGTTTAGGTTTTGAATATTTTATTTTTTTTATTATATCTCTGGGTTTCTTTGGTGGAGGCAATTGACCTCCATCACTGAAGTTTTTGAGTGGTGAAGAAAGAAAATATATTTATAGTTTAGTTAAAATCAAGTAATCAACCCTTATGATAAGGACAATTAATCAACTTTCACAGATTTTAAATTATAAATTATGTTTTTGTTTCAATAAAAGAAAGAGACTCTTCATTCAAATTTTTTTACCTGTTATTAAAGGAACTAAAACTAAAAACTAACCTAACGGTTTAATGAAATTCAGTTGATGGTCTTTATCAATGAAGATAAAGAGCTGGGTTATTCAAACTCTTAAAGTCATGGAATTGACAACAATTGACCAATATTCGTATAAATCCCTTGAAAATAATTGTTCTGATACTTTTATTGACTAGAAGCACTAGCAAGAACTTTATTAAAAGGCAAAGAGCATTGCGTTGCGTTACGTTTAGGCATGCCATTGCCATATATATAAAAAGAAAAGCTGTGATTTCTTCAGGTGAAGTTTTCTTCCACAGAGGGAAAGAATAAAGTTGTATAGTGCATAAAAACAAAAAAATATCCCATAACAACCATTGAATTGCCTGCAAATTAATCAACCTCTAATAACGATTATCAGACTTTTTAATAACAAGTACAGAAAGGATTTTGATGGAATGACTAATAAGCTTTATTTGGTAAGGGAAAAAGGGGAGGGCAGGGGCCTGTTGTCTGTTGAATCAGACTATCAGAGTGTGTGCGACACGTTCCCTTTTAAAAAAAGAATGAAAATGGATTACGGGCACGTTCCCCTTCAATTATTGAGCCTCAAGTTTCTGTAAACTTAACTTTGTCAAAATACCTCACCCACTCTTTACTCTTCCTTTATTTATTTATTTTATTTTTAAGTGTGAATCAGAAGATGCTGAATTGTATGCCTCTGTCTCTATTAGTCTTCCTTCATTAATTATGTATTAGATTTAAGTAATCTATATATATAAGATGGGATGATGAGATGTGTGTAACTTGGGAGATCTATGACCACAAATCTTAAAATATTAGAATTTAATCGATTATTTTAATCCATGGGAGATTACGGAACGTTAGCACACGCCCACTAACCTCAAAATAATGGATACCTTGTTGTAATCAAATGCAAAAAATCGTTGATTTTATGGTGATTGATCATCAATATTCTTTTCACACTGGTATTAGGTTAAGTGTACTCCACAATTGTAACTCAATAACGAGACAATCAGTAGCATGATTCACGGCTTATACATAAAACGACAGCAAATCATCCTCTTGTATTCACTAGATAAGTAATTTCATTAATGAAAAAGAAAAAAAGATAATCAAGTCACAAAATATATAATTTAATGAAATGCATGCGATGAGTGATAATCCAACACAAAAACCATAAAAATCAACAGCGTCCTATAATGCAATGTCATATCACTTTCTTTTCTACTGTGAAAAAGCAGAGCGATGGACCCAGTGATATTATTGCATTTTACATAATTTATTAGATAATATAACTCCCCTCTGACGCTACCCCAATACAAATACTTCAAAACAGTACCCTCTTCTTCTACTTCTTCTTCTTCAACTGTGTGTTCTTGTGACAGAGAAAAAGAGAGAGGAAGAACAGATGGCATGGAGGTATTGTTACAGAGATTTGCTGCCGTTCAGTGCCATGGTGTCCATGGAATGTGTAAACGTTGGCTTAAACACACTCTTTAAAGCAGCAACGTTACAGGGCATGAGTTACCATGTCTTTGTTGTCTATGCCTACGGTATTGCCGCTCTTGTTCTTCTTCCTGCTCCATTCTTCTCTTACAGGTTACTAATTTTCATATCTTTCCTCATCAGGTTCAGTAATTTTTTAATTATTTGCTTCTGTTTTTCCGGCAACATCCATGCACAAGCAACAAGTTTTTTTATTTATCTGCAGATCAAGATCTCTCCCTCCACTCACCTTCTCCATACTTTGTAAAATTGGTCTTCTAGGCCTTATTGGGTATGTAAATTTGTTGCTAATGAAAAGTGTTGTCTTTCTTTTTGCTTATATATCTGATAATATTTAACGTAAATTGATTGGTTATGGGGAGCAGGAGTTCATCTCAGATCATGGGTTATACAGGAATCAACTACAGTTCTCCAACACTTGCTTCAGCTATCAGCAACCTCACTCCAGCTTTTACCTTCATCCTTGCCATCCTTTTCAGGTTTCTTTAATTTCTCTCTCCTTTTCAATGATAATTACACAATTACCCCTCTAGTGGCTTCAGCAGTCTGTTTATTCGGCTTTCTCAACTCACTTTAGTGAACGCTTTTGGATATAGTGATCTAGTTAAAAGCTGAAGGTGATACAGCACTTGTCAATTAACTTGTGTTTTTGCTCCTCCCTATGCCTTTATTTCTAAATAATTCTAAAGAAATTATCTCTTTAAGTTTTCTCCAATAATTTCAGAATTCCCTGTAACTATGATTGTTGCTATTTGTTCAATGAATGTAATAGTTTCACCATCAATTTGAATGTTGATTTTTTTTAATTATTATTTATGGACTACAGTCGCTTTTCTTATTTTTATCTCATTTCTTTTTCATGAAAAGGATGGAGAAACTAGCTTGCAGAAAAACAAGTAGTCAGGCTAAAGTGTTGGGCACTTTTCTATCAATAACTGGAGCATTTTTGGTGACCCTCTATAGGGGCCCTCCAATTTTTATGATTTCATCACCATCTGTTTCTCTTGCACAACCTCAACCTCTGCACTCATCACACTCCAATTGGGCCATTGGTGGCCTTTTTCTCACAGCTGAGTATATCCTTTTACCACTGTGGTACATTGTTCAGGTTGGTATTAAGTAGTAACAAATTTTCAAAATCTGTTGAAATTGAAGGGACTTGATAAACTTGAAGGATTGATTTTGAACTTCGTAATTCTGTAACAGACACAAATAATGAAGGAATACCCGGCAGAATTGACAGTCGTCTTCTTTTATAATTTATGCGTAAGCTTCATTGCAGCTATTGTTGGATTGATTGCAGAAAGGGATTCCAATGCCTGGAGAGTGAGGCCAAATATAGCATTGACCTCCATCTTGTGCTCGGTAAGAAACTCAAGTGTCTTTTGTTGAAGAGCCAAAAATTCTTTGGAATTTCTTAACGGTGGCCTGATTGTCTATTTAGGGACTCTTTGGATCATGCATGAACAATACTGTTCACACCTGGGCATTGCGACTGAAGGGGCCGGTCTTTGTAGCAATGTTCAAGCCCCTATCTATCGCTATTGCAGTCGCTATGGGTGTCATGTTTCTCGGAGACATCCTCTATCTTGGAAGGTAGAATTACACTCAGAATAAATAGAAGTTTACACTAAAGATGAGTTTCACAAGGAAACCTGAAATACTGCACCTAACTGCTAATCCTCTTTTTGTTTTGCAGTCTTATTGGAGCAACAATAATCTCTATTGGGTTCTATACTGTAATGTGGGGAAAAGCAAAAGAAGAAATCGGTGAAGACTCTGAAGGTGGTAGCCTGGAATCACCAGAAGCTGCACAGAAAGTCCCTTTACTGCAAAACAATAAAAACGATCTAGTCTAGCGTAGAGCAAATAAATGTAAATGAATGAAAATCTAAATATAAATAGTGCTCAGCATCTCCACTGCCAAAGAAGGATTCTTAGCACAGCAGAATGTAACATATTTTTAAAGGGTCAGTATGTGCCATAAATTCACCACTATATCGTGTGTTACCCCATTTCTTACAAAGACAACGGACAACTTGTTGAAACCGAAGAACAGCGGAACACTCAGCAACATAATTCCTAACAACACGAATTCCTCTTTCAAGAGTTTAATTCACTGGGGATAAAATTTCTGATGCCATAGTGAGTGACCAGATCGTGCAACATGTGGTACAAGTCGTGTGAGACAGCTTTCGTTCTATTTATGTAAAAACGAATATATGTTAGATCAAGGCTTAATAACATTTCCTATTTTAAGGCTTGTGATTTATAGAATTAGAATGAGATTGATCAGCTTTTGTGGTATTTCCTGAGAAGAAAAGAATGTTAAAAAACATTGTGTGCCTTTGCAACACACTAGTTAGAAAAGAGTTTCCGCTGATGACTAGCGAGAAGCTAGAGTATTACTGATCGAATAACATTTGTTTTGAACTGAAAGCAGCAGGCATATACCCACCTCATCTAACATAGAAAAATACATGGGAAAATTCTGAGCAAGTAGAACATCTATGTAGCAAAGAAATAGATCTTGACCCAATCAGTGAAAACCAAATTGAAAAGACAGTCAAATATGTAATCCCCTTTGACTATTAAGCATCTGCCGGAAAACCAAGTTTGATACAAAAATGATTACCGAAAAACAGGTTTATAACTACTGGCAACAAGAACGATACAAAAATTTGCAATGGAAAACAGCATTGATAGATAGGCCTACAATTAGTATTCTTGTATTTCATCTTGTAAATTTGCCAGTGAAAGTATTACAAGAAGATCATACCTCTCAAGTGGTTTTTACCTGAAGATTAACATACCAAACTACAAGGCAAAGAGGCTTTTCAGCTATCACACGAAAGCAGATTGCGATTAATTAGAACATCTATTTTGTGGAGAAAAAGAGACATATTTAACCAAACAATGGCCTTATCATACATAGAAACAAATACATTCAGCTGGGAAGGAAGTATCATCAAAATATTTCCTGCAAAACAGCAATGACATCTGGTATTTGGTAAACCACATCAAAATTTTCAAATGAAATAATGGTAAAAAGAGCATTCACAAACCATAATCAGCTTGACCCACAGTTGATATTCTAAAATTTTCTCTGGTTCCTTAAAATATTACAAGATCACATCTCTCGCATAATTTCAGCTGCAGAGAATGACAAAAAATGATCATCAAAAGATGCTTCTAGGTTCAGCGAAACCTACAGTCAAATCATCCCAGCTTTCTCCCAATGTACATATTAATGCATGAGTACAAAAACTAATTAAAAAATATCTCATCCCCTATCAAGAAAACTAACAGCCACAAGGCCACTAGACTCCAGTCCTAAGTTTACAAAAATATCACGTCAAAAGCATATGTTAACAACAAAGAAGCAATTAACTATAAACCTTCCATACTCGCTTCAAGGCAATACAGTGTGTTTTATTTATGTTTGGTCATGGAAAGAGATGGAGTTAAATAAAAAGCAGAGACGAAAGAGGAATAATTTTCTATACCATTTAAAGCAGTATAACAATATTCAAAAGAAATGCAAGTAAACAGCAGGCAAGTCAAGCACCCTTCAATTAAAAATTATACCTCTTGTTACAAGAATTGAACTTCTCAAACAAAAGGCCAGTGAATTAATTGGCACAGATATGGGTGAATTCAAATTAGGCACCAAGCATTAAGCATTTAATACTTTAACAAGTAACTCATCTAAATGAGAAAGGCAATCACATGAACAAAATAGTCTGAGTTGAGGGTGTTAAGGCACTATTTGTGAATCTTGCCTAAGCAACTCTCTATCTGTGTATACTGTGACAGTCAAGTTCCAGATTTACCACCTTTCAAGCTGAATCAGAGCTTTATTTAGAGCAATAAATCTATCCAAATATTGTCAGGAACTTGTCAACAAGCTCTATGTGTTTATTTCTTGAGCAATTAACTCTCTTCTGGACAGCAGTCAGGCAAAAACAATTGCACAATATGTGCTTCCATGAACATATGACCATCATCTCCATCACCTACCCTTATAATGCACAGAAGAAGCTAGTCCTAAATTTCTCCTTCTAAGTATCATTCATATCAAGTCATTTCCTACCTTGCACTTATCCTTCCCTAAATTCCTCACATGGACTTTTTCCATCTGGACAACATGTTGTCTCGTAATCATACCAAGTAACACTCTAACTACTTTTGTATATCCAATTTGTTATTTTCGTCAGGGTTTACCACTTTCTAGAATTCTGTAGTATCTTTGACTATAATAACCTAAGGATTCTTTTAACAGCTTCATGCTGGTTACTCTAAAGGCCACATTTAAACTACTAAATACTTGACCATAATCCATTTGAACAGCAAATTTATAGATAATTTCATTTTTTTTGCAGCACAATCTAATGGAATCGGTAAAGCCCTTTATATACACACTTTAAACGAACAAGACATGTATTAAAAAGAAACAGTTTCACAGGCACATGGCAGCCTATAATAAATACTTCAGAAGAATGCCCTGATGTACCATTATGCCAACAAGATAGTAAGATTAGCAGGTAACAATAATTAGCAATCACAAGCTAAGACAACAAAAGTATAAGAAAAAAACTTAAAAGGAAAAAGTGTCACTAAATATTAAAAAAAAAAAAAAGTAGAAAGAAATTTTCACCTGTTCCATCATTGGCAATATCGATGCCATCAAAGCTAATGATAATATCAGATGGCTTCAGAACCTGAGATTCTGAAGCTGTTGGTTCAATTCTTCTAACTCGAACACCCTTTTGATCACGTCTCATCCCCATTGTCATGCCCAAATCAGGAATTTCCATCTTCTGCCACTCAACTCCAAGAATCGGGAACACTAACACATTGGACATCACCATAGAATTTAGGAATTGAAAGGTTCTCAAAACAGTTAAGATCCAAAAGTAAGGTAAATAAGAAAGATGCTGTACAATAGAAAAAAGCAACAGCAAAAACATAAAGAGCTCTACAAGCAAATATACCTATATAAGCACCATTTCTCTCATAATCTTGAATAAAGCGCATAATAACAGGTGTGGGTATCACATAACCTATATTTTCCACATCTTTATGTTTTAGAGACTGAAATGCAATACCAACACATTTGCCCTTATCATTAACTGCAGGTCCACCAGAATTTCCAGAATTTATAGCTGCATCTATCTACAAAAGCACATTAAAAAATAAAGGATATCAGTACAAATGAACAATACATCAATACCTTCTACAGGAAAAACATGACTAAAGCAACAAAAGACAGTATCTGATCGTAGTAACTGAGCCAATTAGAATAAACATTATTAGAGGTAAACTTCAGAAAAATAACGAGTTAACATCTCCAACTGCACTAAATTCCAGTTTAGAATCTCTAATTCCATATTGTAAACAGAAAATATGCATAAACCAAATTCTATAACTATAACCTGCATTCCAAGAAGCTCAGTTGAGCCATGGGCATAAGTATCTCCAAGCGTGAAACAACCCCACTTGTCACAGAGATAGCGTTCCCCCCCACCCCCCCAAAAAAAAAAAAAAAAAAAAAATCAGATACCCCACAACAGTGACAGCATCTTGAAGAGCTGGTAAATCTCCAACTCCACCGGTGAAACTCCTTCCCAGAACTCATCATCGTTAACAGTCAACATGGCTGTAGCACCACCAAAAAAAAAAATACAAACACAATCATTCACAAATTCAAACAACTTCTTCCGACACGTGCAATAATCATTTTACCCCCTCTAATATAATTTCATAAAATACAATCATATCAAGTTTCATTCAAGAAAGAACTCATGTATTTGAAATAAGAACTATCAAATTGAACCCATCAGTTGCATTTTTTATAACATTCACAAAAACAAAAAAAAAACAAAAAAAAGAAAACAAAAAAAAATCCTTCAAACAAGATTCTTGACACATCATCCAGGAAACCAACAAATTAAGCCAAAATAAAAATTCTGGGAAAACCAAATAATAAAATTGTGTATCAATATCACACTCGGTTCCAATAGACAAAACGGTGGCCAAGTATTTCGTATCGGAGCCACACATCTTCAACTTGACTTGCGTATGATGCTCGACCGAATGAGCATTGGTCAAGACTCTTCTACCCCCTACAATATACCCACTACTACTCGAACTATACTGCCGTTTCCTCTGCCACGCCAGCGAGAAATTCGGCTCCGTGTGAACACAAAACACTTTCACGACAACGCCATCGACGGCACCGCTTGAACTGCCACGCTGTCCCACCTCGGGGGCAATATCGTTATTTCATTTGCATCGCCTTGTCTGCTTCGTTCCGGTGAAGCCAAATGGCCGATGTTAGAATTGGAATTGTTAACGTTGCGGTCGTTGTTGGTGTTGTTATCGTCTTCGGTGAGGGTTCATCTGGCACGGCCACGTGTGCGACGAGGGGAAGAAGGATTATGATGAGTATCGGCGACGGCGGCGTCGTTTTGGGGAGTGGAATTGGTGTACTACATAATGTGATGGAACATTGTTCTAATGATTGTTCTAATACTATTCATGTAACATAATAAAGGATAATTGATTAATTTTAAATCTTTCACTTAATTATCTTTTACAACGTATAAGAAATATTTGTTGCACAAGAAACATAATATTACATTGTATGTGTGTCAATTACTACAAATTCTGCTCTTTTTAATATCAATGTAGGTGGATGTTAGTCAAATCATATTCAAAGCCAGCAAATTCAGTAATCCGCAGGCAGACTGAAATATGGTTAGTTATAACTGCTACGTGCTAACAAACTGTAACGCTAGCTCACTAAGTTTCAAATTTCATGCAAATACGATATAGGCTTCTATAAACAAACTAAATATTAACTCCACTGCTT